GAGTGAACGGTTTCTTGAAAGGTTGTTGCCAAATAAGGAAATTTTCGATTGGAAATTGATTTGCGGAAAAGAGTTTTTTTTATAATTTTTAGCTTTTTTTAAGTTTAGTTTCAATTTCCTTGTAAGCTGGTATACTTTTGTAGCACTCAAAGATATGTGTCTGGGTCTCTGTTTCGGTGAGACATCTGGGGCACAGACTGTCTTCGTATGTATTGGGATATCTTTCGTGGAGGAGGTGTCTGGTCTTAAGTGTTCCGCTGATCATTTTTGCTCTGAAAGCTAGTAACGAGGAGCAGTTTACCTTGTCTTTTTTGACGAGAAGCTTGTTCGCTTTTGTTAAAGTTTGAAGATTAGATATTTTTATAATGGTGTTCCATCTTTTTCTAATTGAAGAACTGTTCGTGATATCGGTGAGTCTAAAAATATGCTGCACTTTTTTAATCCATGTTATGGAACTGTAGCTCCACTTGTTTTTAATTTTTGGTCCGGTGGTATAGTCTGTTAATTCCGTTATGTTGTCGATTCCTATAATTGACTCGATGTCTTGCTGTTCTAGGGATGTTGAATTCTTTTCTAACTTTAACTTGATGTTCTTCTGACTGCAAATGGCATTGATACTTTCGATTAGAAAACTGTATGATGTTTTGACTCTTTGGTTGGAATATTCAGGCGCTTTCAGCTCGATTTTCTTGGGTGCATTTATAGAGATATATGATTGGTTATTTGCTGCTCCTACCAGGTCCAGGATTCCTAGGAGGACGTTGATTGGTTGCGGATTGCTGGAATGGAATGCCATACTTGTGTTGTGTCTGTATATCTCTAGAAGTTCTTCTTTTGCTACCAGGTCAAATTGGGAAAATAGACGATCAAGGTTGACGACCTGTTTAATATCTTCTAGTGTATTGGAGTTTAGGCAAGCCTCCGGTCCTTTATTTTCTCGGAAACTAATTTCTACTGTTAAGTTTGTTGTTGGAATTGTTTTGTGTTGTAGCTGGAGCCAAATTTCTTCTGTGGCATTGGCTAGGTGATGCTCATTATTGGTCTTGTATGTCCAGAGGGACATTGCTTCTTCTATTGACACGTTTATTTGGTGTACACTACCATGGCAACTGCACTTTCTGAGAGTTTTGTCAGCTTCTAGATTGTAATGCCTACCTTTGATGAAGGGTTGCGTGCTATTGCGATTAATTCTTGCCTTGATGAAGCTCAGCTGGTTGTTGTAGATATGGACCCAAAATCTGGCTCTTGTATTGGGAATGCATGTTGAGGTACCTTTATATCCAGGTGTGACATTGATATTAGTGAACCAACTGGGAATAGGTCCTTTTGGAGTTGGTCGGAAGTGTGTGTTGAATTCATGCCAGGACAGTTTGTTGCTTGTTCTAAATACTAATAAGTCCTCAAGGAATCTTATGTTACCTCTGTGTAGGCCTAGGGCTTGACGTCTCAGGTACTTGTTTCTGAATGAGAAGTGCAATCCCAGGGATTGCTGGCCTTTGGTATGATTGAATGGACAATTGGCTGGGCATACGTTGATCTGATACTTTTTACATGATGTTGCTGCTTGCGTAATCCATGATTCTGGGAACAC